AAAAAAAAAAAAAAAAAAAAAAAAAAAATCTGGCCTTCAGCTCCTCACTTGTGGCATTTGTAGAAAGGACTAGAGGTATTGAACCTAGAATGTTGAGAGGGCGATTCGTCACAACCGGAGCCTCAGGAACCATTAATGGGATCCTGTGCTTAGGCCCCCCTCACCCCTACCCCTGCTTCATTTTCTGCTTTTCCTACAGGGCAGAGAGGGTCCCCGAGAGCTGGTCCTGTCCCCACCACCCTCTCTCAACCCCACAGCCCTCATGCAGAAGGACACCACCAAATGGTCCCTTTTTCCTCAGTGGTGTCAAAACCTATAGCATCCTGTACCGTACAAATAATTTTTGAAAGAGTAGGTGTATTAGCACATACTTGGGTTTTTTTTTTTTTTTAATTTTTTTTTTCAACGTTTTTTATTTATTTTTGGGACAGAGAGAGACAGAGCATGAACGGGGGAGGGGCAGAGAGAGAGAGAGACACAGAATCGGAAACAGGCTCCAGGCTCCGAGCCATCAGCCCAGAGCCCGACGCGGGGCTCGAACTCACGGACCGCGAGATCGTGACCTGGCTGAAGTCGGACGCTTAACCGACTGCGCCACCCAGGCGCCCCGAGTTTTTATACAGGTTTAAAATCCATTCCCTAGTTAAAAGGTACATGTATTCATCCCCCAGTGGAAATTCCTAGTTTGAGGTAAAAGAGTAGTTTCACAGAATTGTGTCTGCCGGTTGTTTTTTGAGGCTTCTAGAAAACCAGTCAGTCATTATGTTTAATGTTTCATCAAATAATCTCCGTGTATTCTTGAAAGCGGTCGTTTTGAACACCTAAGTGCCTGTCTGTGTGGCAGTTAAATTGTCCCTATCGATTTTCTCACCTCTTGTCAAGCCCGTAGCCTTGGCTATGGATACCTAAATAGAAGCCTTGGGAAAAAATGTCCCATGAAAGTGGCGTTCTTTGGGATGTGTTTGTTTGGCGGAGATGTGTTCTCCGGTCTTCTGTGATGGATTGTTCTCATGTGGAGCCACATCTGGTTTCAGCAGAGCTCAGCACACAGTATTTCTCTAACTATGTCATCTCTCCTCCTGTTATTTCAGAGCAATTGCCTTGCTCCCCTCTGGAGCTATTTATACTCCGGAGTTTCTGTTCTCTGTGTTACCCATTCACCTGTACAGAGATGAGAGGAGACTCGGTGAAGAGAAATTCATGCAGTTTTTGCTACTGGTCCGTTGGCTTCCGTCGCGCGAGGAAATTAGACGCTTGATACAAAAAGGAGTCTCACGGTTCCCACCTGTTAGTTCGTGTATCCTTGGGTAGAAGGCAAAACATTTATAATGATTAAGGCAGAGTCACAAGAAAATAGTAGAAAAACTCCAAACCACCCAGAGCTTCCTTCAGTTGACAGGGAATCCTGCTGGGAATATTGGTGTTTGGAAGAAATCCGTTCTTCTCTTTCGCTCATGGAAACGGTGAGCTGCCTCTCTCAGTGTTCTCGCTCCCTGGCCTGTTGGCATTTGCCCTCTGAGGAAGTCCAGCGTGCAGAAGAGAGGATGAAAGCTGGAGTCTTTGCTCTCTGTCCCTCTCTCTAGTCTCCCTTGCGGTGTCGCCCGCTGGGCCTTCCCTCCTCGGGGCCTCCTGCCGGTTTGCGTTATTAGTTTTTTAATTCTTGCTTCTTTTTCCTACCTCCCTCCCTCTCAAATCGAGTTATGTTCTTTTCTGCCGCTTTAAATCAGGCCTCGGCTTCCACGTAAAGAGGTCGTTTCTTTATCTCGAGAGTACTTTAACACAAAAGGAGCGGGGCCTTTGCTTTGTCAGGGTGAGGGCTAGTCCCTGGCACGTGAGGCCGACTGCTTGGGAGCACAGAGCTTTACTGACTGCGAAGGAAGAGAAAATCCCCTCCTGCTTCTTCTACCAGGCCTCTTTCTCGCTTCCAGGGAAACTCCAGAGGTTACTGCTTTTCTGTCATAACAGACACAAACGCACACCACGTAGGGTATGACCCTACGGAGGATTTAACCCCGGTTTGTTTTCCGTAACATTTAATTAGCACTGCCCACAAATAGCTAGTAAAATGCACTCGGGCCCTTAACTGTGCGTCCACTGAGCCCTGGGCAAGCTCTTTACTGACTGGGATGGTCTATGTTTATCTGCAGTTACATTTACAATTGTATTGCCCCCTCCCCCTAGATGGGCGAGAGATGTACTTAATGACCGCCGATTGTTTGCAAGGCATCTTCCCGTGACACTTGGGAGGAAAGCTTGCGCTGTGCTGATGCTGCGCAAGGTTGAGGTTTCTCTTTCGTTAAATTTTCGTCCTTCATGGGGCGCCTGGGTGGCGCAGTCGGTTAAGCGTCCGACTTCAGCCAGGTCACGATCTCGCGGTCCGTGAGTTCGAGCCCCGCGTC